ATGGTCTTGGTGACGGTGTTGTACCAAAATGGGTCTTCAAATGAGTAGGCCGGGTCCTCGGGAGCTTGCTTGACAAAAAACAGGTCACGTTTGTAGGCGCGCTGAAATTTCGTGATGAAGGTATCATCCCAAGTGATGCTGCTGATTCCATGGAGTTGCAAGGGTGGGTTCGGAGTGTGAGGTGGAGGTGATGAGGTGGGGCTGGTTGGGGAGTGGTGGGGCTGGTTGGTGGTTGGTTTGGGCTGGTCGGTGGGTGGTGGGGCTGGTGGTGGTGGTCGGGACAAGATGTCGGCTGGGTTGAGTTTTCCGGGGCGGTAGAGAATCTGAAGTGAGGGTACGAACTGCTCCAAAAACTCAGCCCATCGGGCTTGGCGGCGGCTGAGCACAGGCTGCGTTTTCAAGTGTTGAAGAGGGCGGTGGTCGGTGTAGACAGTGACGGGCTGCAGCTCCACGTAACAGCGCCATGTCTTGATTGCGTGGACAATGGCAAGGAGCTCCCGATCGTGTGTTGCGTAGTTGCGCTCTGCCGGTTGAAGCTTGCGTGACTCGAAAGCAAGTGGCTGCATCCCATGGCCGTGGTCTTGACAAAGAATGGCACCGACAGCGACATCGGGAGCATCGGTCCATATGAAGTATGGGCGTGAAGGGTCAGCGACGGTGAGGACCGGTGCAGAAGTGAGTGCTGATTTGATTGAGTTGAAAGCAGTCTGCTGCGGTAGTCCCCATTGAAAGGCAGCTCCTTGACGGAAGAGATCGGTCAAAGGGGCGCAGATGTGAGAGAAGTTGAAAATGAATTTCCGGTAATACTTGGCGAGGCCGATGAAACTTTGCAGCTCCGCTACCGTGCGTGGGGCTGGCCAATCAGCAAGGCACTGGACCTTTGCGGGGTCCATAGCAATGCCTTTGGAGCTGATGACATGGCCGAGAAAGCCGATGCTTGAACGGGCGAAGGTGCACTTGGAGAGCTTGGCGTAGAGGTGGTGTTGGCGAAGCTTGTCGAGGACGATGCGTAGGTGCTGAGCGTGTTCCTCGAGTGAATTGCTGAAAATGAGGATGTCATCGAGGAACACGATGACAAAGCGGTCGAGGAAGGGCCGAAAAATGTCGTTCATGAGTCCCATGAACGTGGCTGGTGCGTTGGTGAGGCCGAACGGAAGTACGCGGAACTCGAAGTGGCCGTAGCGGGTTCGAAACGCCGTCTTGTTGATGTCGTCTTCGGCGAGCCGGATCTGGTGGTAACCAGAGCGTAGGTCGAGCTTGCTGAAAACTGTTGCTTCCCCAAGCATGTCGAACAACTCCTCGACACGGGGCAGCGGGTACTTATTCTTGATTGTGATGGCGTTGAGGGCGCGGTAGTCGATGCAAAGGCGCAAGTCACCTTCCTTCTTGCGGGTGAAAAGCACGGGGGCAGCGTATGGTGAGGTGCTTGGGCGGATGAAACCCTTCTCGAGAAGGTCATCGAGTTGACGGCGGAGCTCCAAAAGTTTAGCGGTGCTCATGCGATAGGTTGGGCGCACGGGCGGTGTAGAACCTGGAATGAGGCGGATGCTATGGTCAATAGCACGCTCGGGTGGAAGTTCGGCGGGAAGATCTTCGGGGAAGACGTCGGTGTAGCCTTGGAGTAACTTCTGTATAGGTGATGGGAGAGAGTTGGGTGATGGTTCAAATTCGGGAGCGGTGAAGATGACTAGGAGATGAGGAGGAGGAGGTGGTGATGGAGGGGTGGGGGCTGATGGATTGACAACTTCAGAGGCGGGGCGGATGATGGGACGTCGTGGCTGCTGGGTTGGGTGGGGTGGAGAAGGAGGAGGTGTGTTGATCACTTCGGGGGAGCCGGGTGGTGTTGGCTGCTGCACGGGAGCTATGCGAGGAGGAGGGAGAGGGGGAATATGGGAAGATGGAGATGGGACAGGTTGGGGTGGATGGGTTGATGAAGGCGGAACTGGTTGGGGATGACCATGGTCGGCGAAAGGAGTGGGATGGGAGGTCGTAGTTGCCGACGGTGACAGTTCCGTTGCGCCAATAAATCCGCGGTCCAAACTGGTGCAACCATGGTCGACCGATAACGCCTTCGTACCCGCCGAGGTGCAGTTGCTCGAACGTGACCGTCGCCTCCAAGCTTCCAAACATGCAATGCACAGGGAGGAGAGTAGGTCCGCAGCGCCGCCGAGTACCATCTGCCATGATCACGTCCTGCGGGTTGCTGTTGGGATCTTCGGGGAGAGAAAGTTCAGCAGCAATTGAGGGAGAGAGGAAATTTGCTGAAGCACCGGTATCGAGCAAAAAGTCAACGTAGCGATTCTTTATTTTTGCGTATAGAATGATGGCGGGGAATGGAGCGTTGGATGTGGTGTAGAGTTCAGAGGTGCCGATGAATAATGGAGTCAGGAGAAGCGGGGCATGTGATGCGCCAGAGGTCTGCCCCACTGCTACTCGCGCTGTCCGTTTCCCGGAGACCTTTCAAAGTTGCGGCGGTTCGGGCAATGTCGCTTGATGTGGCCGACTTTCCCGCACGAGTAGCACGTAAGCGTGGACTGGTTGCGTGCACGCTGTTCCACCACACCGAGCTCCATGGGAGAAGGACCGTTGGTGCGGTAGGTAGGTCCAGTAGTGGTGTGCTGCCCGGTTCGTCCTTGGAATCGCTGGTATGTTGTAAAGCTGATGGTGTCAAAACGCTCGGCGACACGAATCATCTCATCCAACGTCGTAGCGCCGCGGAGTCCGACCTCGGTGCGGATTTTCGGCTTCAGCCCACGCTTGAATTTGTCCATCAGTTCAGCAGCAGGGATGTCAGGGATCTCAAGCACGAGCTCGCGGAAGCGGTGATGTACTCAGCGACCGAGCGATGTTGGCGTAATTCAGCGAGGTTGTCACGTGCGCGCTCGATGGAGTTGACCGGCTCGAAGTTCATTAATAGCGATGCAGAAAACTCTTCCCAAGTTGAAATCGTAGCATGGCAACTCTGCCACCAAGTAGCAGCTGCACCCCTCAACATCATGCTGGCGTGCCGAGCCCACTCCGCCCGGTTGACATGACAAAGGGAGAGGTATTCCTCCACTTGGAAAAGCCACCGTCGCACCGGTAAGTGACGTTTTCCACGGATGAACGGCTCAGGTTCGGGTGCTTTGGGTCGTGCAGAAACCACAGCAGGTGCTGGCGTCGGCACCTGTGTGCCCAGGAGTCCACGTTCCTGGAGTTCGCCGAGGATCCGGTCACGCACCTCGCGTTCAATTTCTCGGCGCATATTCGCCACAAATTCGTTCCAGAGTTCCGGCGTCATATCAGACGGTCCGGCCATAGGGTCTAGAATATGGCGGGAGCGTGCGAAATAACTAACTGGGCTCTGATACCAGTGAAACGTTGCTGGCAGGGAAGTAGCAGCCTTAGTAGGCTAGGAAAACGAGGATAGAGTGCTCTCTGGAGTTCTCTTGAAATTGCACTATGACTTCACAATTTCACAGTACAATTTTATAGAGCACATTCAAATATCGAGTCGCACTCCCAAGTCGCGACTCTCTCTGAATTTCTCAATGGTAACCCAACCCCTTTGAAATGAACCTGCCGTGAAATTCAGAGAATTATTGCGATACGGGATTGGACGGCGAGCTTGGTTACGGGGCTGTGATTTCGTCGATGTTGTTGGCGAAGTCGGCGAGCGGTCGGAACTTCGGTGTTCTGCGTTCCGTAATTTTCGCACGAGAGTTTGTGTTGGGCTGTGCGTCAGGACCTGGTCGCCCAGCTGCAGGTTGAGGCGTTTGACCAATACGAACAGTTGGTGAGGTGGCGCTTGACTTCCGCCCACCTGCACTGTACTTGGCAGCATTCGGCTGCCACACTGTTACATCGAGAGACTTCCTCGATGAGAAATGACGTGAAGGCAATCGGGAAGGTTGAGTTGGAGAAGAACATTGGTTTGGTTTTCCCAACCCTCAACCTTGAGGTTTGGAAACTTCCAACCCATCAAAGTGAAGATTGGAAAGGTTGGATTTCCAACCAATCAAATTGTGCCAGTTGTTGTTACAATCCACACAAACTTAAAACAACCATACAATTGTGCTAAGTTGGGTTTTTCCCAACCAAACTAAATTGCCACCTAGGCTCCAAGCCTATTAGCTCCCCAACCATGGAAGCCATGGTTGGGAAAAGCCCCAAGAGGTATGATGGAAGGGGTTGGAGCTCTCAAGCTCATTCCCACTTCCCAACTCCAACAATCTAACTTGGAAATGAGATTTTCACTCTAAGTCTTTTGAGTTCTCCTAATAAGCTCCCCTACACAACTAGACTTGTGATTTTTCAAGGACAAGCTCTACAAGAAGCTCCTACCTACTTATTAAAGTTTCATCAACCTTCTTCAAGCTCCCTTTTTCCCGTCAAGCTTAGGAGTACTATCAAGGCTAAATTATCCTTTGGTGGGATTAGTAAATCTTGAAAGCCTTGTATCTTGAATTTATAAATGTTGTCAAGGGTGATTTATATTCAACACACGGTTGCCCGTTGTTATCAGGGCCGTGATTGTTACATTGGTATCTAGAGCTAGGGTTATCCTAAGCCTAGTGGGGATTTTGCCCCTAGAGATTCTTTTTTTTAATATATATATAGATCTTGGAGTTGTGGTTTCTATTTAAGAGAACACTCAAGATCTGGAAGCTTGAAGAGTTCAAGATCTACAAGATCTATAACCGCAATTTCAAGCTAAGAAGAGAGATTTATCTCTCTTGCCCACCTTTTGGTGGAAGACTCTCTACTGTTGAGTAGTGGAGTATAAACTTGGATCTGGAGGATTTTTTTAGGGTTATACAAGTTCTCTTCATTGAGATTTGGATAGACCCTGCCCTTTCACCTAGGTGATTGGGAGTGCTTGACAACAAATCTGTTACGTCGGGTAACTTGAATTATTATGTAGAAGAAATTTCTTTTATAATAATTTCTTGCTTTACCATTGAGGTGGTAAAAAGACTTTAACAGAATCAACCCAGATCGTACAAGCTCCCTTAATCCTTATGGCATCTGGCCAAGAGAAGCATATGGCAAGGGAGGAAGGGCCCACTGCACCTAATGAGGTGGTGAACAATGCTGCTGAGATTGACCTCAATCAAGATGAGGCAATGGCTGACATTGAGTTGGATGATATTGAGGACTTGGACCCGGACCTTGGAGATGAGCATAACCATGGTGAAGCTGAGAACCATGATGAAACTGAGCACCATGGTGAAGCTGAGAACCATGGTGGCGCTGACAACCTTGGGGAAGAGGATAACACCGGTGGAAAGGAGGCCACTGGTGATGAAAATGACTTCAGTGAGGGTGAAGGCACGACTTATCCTATCTCCGAGGAGATTGTCCAACTCCAGGCTAAGGTGGCAACTCAGAATATCACCATCCTGCAGCAGCAGACGTCCATTGATGGACTCAAGAAGCACACTCAGAACCTCGAGGCTAGACTGAGCATTACCATGAAGGAGGTTACAGAGTTCCGTCGCAGCCTGGGCACTAAAAAACGCCAAATTGAGTGGCTTCTGAAGACTTGCAAGAATCTGCAAGCATCGTTCAACAAGTTGAATGAGCAGTTGACACATCTTAGGAGAGAGGGTATTTACGAACCTCCTCCTGTGCGTAGATCCGCTCCTGCTGCTCAGCCGGCACCCGCTCCGCCTGCACCCCCGGCGGTAGGTGCTGCGACGGCTATGCATCAGCCACCTCCAACTGAGACCTCGCCCTTTGGGTCCCTCGCGGCGCCTCTGCCTGAATTTAACCATAATAGGACGGAGGTGCAGCCTTGGCTCGACCTGGTGGATTCCACCATGATCCTTGCAAATGTGCGCCCCGAGGCTCGCATCACTGCAGCTACTCGTGCGTTGGACGAGGTGGCCCGCTGGGCCGTGTATGGTGCTAAGAAGCAGGCACAGGGACCGTTTGAATGGCCGGAGTTCTGCACCGCGCTGAAAGAGGAATTCATAGTCAAAAAGCCCGACCTGGAACTGCGCGGACGCCTTGAGCGTATCAAGTGTCATGACTGTTCGGTGCAGGAATATGCGGTCGAGTTGAGGCCGCAGCACGCTTGCTCCAAAAGCCATTGGCTGAGGAGGAGATGATGCACATCTTCATGAAGGGCCTCCCTGTCAACCTGCAGCATGCACACATGACCGGCGGCATGACCAATTGGACTACTTACAAGGAGATGAAGGAGCAGGTGATCAAAACCGACAACATCATTCGCACGTACATTTTTGGCCCCGAAAAGACAAGCCTGCAGCCCCGTGCTGAGGGCTCTGGTGGTCATGGGAACCGGCCCCAGAATGCGAAGGGTGGAAGCGGTTGGAACAAAAGGCCTTTCCAAGCAGCGTGATCACCAGCCTGGCCCACAGGCCAAGAGGCCTAACAGAGGGGGAGGTCATGGACCTAACAAGCCGGACTTCTCCGACAAGCAGTGCAGAGGCTGTGGAAGGATGGGGCACGTCATAAATCAATGCCGTGATAAGAATGCTATCAAGTATTATGGGAAGCCTAAGCCAGGCGGAGCTGGACCTTCTGGAAAGAAGGATTTTCAGAAGCCCAACTAGGGTGTGGGTACCTAGTTGGAGGAGTAGATCGAGTGGATGAGGCATATGTGCTATATGATGACGATCTATTAAAGCTAGAGAAGCTTGCTGATTGCAAAATCTCTTGTTTGTTTGCCTCTTCTTTGAATAAAAACTCCGTTTTTTATCCTCGATCGTACCCACTTGAGAAAATTTCCATGGAAGCAATGCAAGATAAATTTTCAATTATTTACTGTGGCTTGGACATTCTGCGTTCTGCCATTGAGATTGTGAGTCGTTGCACTCAAGAGCACCCCTTCGGTTGCGTCGGTGACTCGCACAGTAAAAGGCGAATTGTTCCATGTGCTTTGTGGATGGCCGGTCCTAGCCGCATGGGACAAGGGACACCATGTGTGGTGGACCAAATCTCAGTCACATGGACGAGCTCGTCACAACGTCAAGGTGTACTTCAAACCTTCGACGAGTATTGTGGCATGTCCTATTCGCCCAAAGCATCAACAAAATTTGTTGCTTGCGGGTAGCGTGAACGGGGATAATGCAAAAATCCTTGTTGACACGGGTGCAACTGTTTCCCTCTTTGACGAAAAGTGGGTCACAGCACGCACGATCCTAGTTGAAGGACCGTCTTGCCCCATTCGCCTTGGTGACGATAGCATCATCCCAAACAAAGGGCAGACACGGATCAACATGGAGATCGAGGGTTATCACGAAGAGATCCGCGCGTATGTTTTACCCCTTCTCGCAGGTGTCGACCTTGTCCTTGGAATGGATTGGCTTCGAGCGAATGAAGTCAAGCTCGATTTCCAGGACAATACTGTCTCATTCTTAAAGAATGGTGACACAGTCCAATGGAAAGTGCCTAAGGACTTGATCACGAACGAACAGCAAACGTTGAAGCGTCCCGATGTGAGTTTTGCGCTTGCGAACGAGTTCGGACAGCATGTTCGACAAGCCGATACCTTCTTTGTGGTACAGCTTGAGAACGCTCAACACGAGATGCCTGGGATCGAGGATTTCCCGCCTCAGATGAAAGCACTAGCGGACGAGTTTGCAGAGGTTTTTGAACCCATCCCAGATGGCCTTCCTCCGGACCGTGCTATCGGTCACACCATTCCAGTGGAGCCTGGAAAACTCCCACCTTTTAGAACTCTGTATCGCCTCAGTCCAGCTGAGTACGAGGAGGCTAAACAGCAAATTGAGGAGTATCTGAGGAAGGGATGGATTGAACCAAGCGCATCACCTTACGGAGCGCCGATCTTGTTCGTGAACAAAAAGGGCGGAGGGTTACGCATGTGCGTAGACTACCGTGCTTTGAACAAGATAACGGTGAAGAACAGGTATCCCCTACCGAGAATAGAGGACCTGTTCGACAAACTCCAGTGTTCCAAGTGGTTCAGCGCATTGGACCTCGCGCAAGGGTATCACCAATTGCGCATCACCGAAGAAGATGTACCGAAGACGGCTTTCCGATCGCCGTTTGGTCATTTTCAGTGGCGAGTGCTGAGCTTTGGCTTTACCAATGCTCCTGCATCTTTTCACAGAGCTATGAATGATGTCTTTCGCGAGGCGATTGGACAGTTCGTTTTAGTCTATCTGGATGACATCTTGGTTTACTCCAAGACGGAAGAGGAGCACACGCGACACCTTAAGTGGGTGTTAGGGAAACTTCGAGAGCATAAGTTTTATGCTCGTCTGTGGAAGTGTCATTTCTACAAACGCGAGTTGGAATATCTTGGCCATCTCGCGGGAAATGATGGTCTCAAAGTAGACCCAAAGAAAGTTGTCGCAGTCCAAAACTGGCCGGTACCACAAGATGTGGGTCAAATCAGGTCGTTTTTGGGACTGGCAAACTATTTTCGTCGATTCTTGCAGAATTATTCTACCGTTGTTGCCCCATTGACGGCCCTCACTCGCAAGAGTAGTGCTTGGCAATGGACACAACAATGCCAAAAGGCATTCGACGAGGTCAAGCGATTGCTGACCAATGCTCCGGTTCTGGTTTTACCAGATCCGACAAAGCCCTATGAGGTTGTTACTGACGCTTCATTGATTGGGATTGGGGCGGTCCTCTTGCAAGAAGGGAGACCAATGGCATTTGAGAGTCGAAAGCTCTCCCCGGAAGAGCAGCGCCATACGACGTCCGAACAAAAACTGTTGGCGGTCGTTCATGCGCTACAAACATGGCGATGTTATCTAGAGGGTGTGGACTTTGTGGTTACGACTGATCACTGTCCAAACACCTACTTCTCCACCCAAGCCACGCTTACTCGACGTCAAGCCCGACGGGCGGAACTCCTTAGTGGGTTCACCTTCGATTTTTGATATCGAGCGGGTTCGACGAACCTGGCTGACCCCTTCAGCAGACAGCCGATAGGGGCAGCAACACGTCTAGACGACACAGAGAATGCGGTAGTATTTTCTGCTTACTTCAGTGTCCTAGCAACGGCTCGAGTGAGTGAGATTACCTTCAGTGGTTTCCTGAAACGCATCCGCACAGGGTATCAAATTGACTCCTGGTTTCAGGACCCACGAAACACGAAGGAACTCAAGTGGGAGCATGAGCTCTGGTGGCGTAAGAAGGAGATCGTTGTACCTCACGTAGGTAGCCTGCGGAACGATATTCTGGAAGAAGTGCATGCCACTAAGTTCGGAGGGCACCTAGGGGTCAAAAAGACCAGGTGGGCCTTGAGTGATGTATACTTGTGGCCGGGATTGGGCACTGAGGTCCAGCGATTCGTGGGGCACTGCGACGCATGCGCACGAAATAAAACGGATACAAAGAAGCCTGGTGGCTTGCTTCAACCACTCGAGATCCCGAATGAACCTTGGGAGAGCGTATCCTTGGATTTTATCACGGACCTTCCTAAGACTCGTGATGGCCATACAACGATCCTAGTGTTTGTGGATCGTCTGACAAAAATGGTGCATTTCGTGGCTACTACAACTGACGTATCCGCGGAAGGTACGGCCAAATTGTTTGTGGCACACGTTTTCCACTTACACGGGTTACCACACGTATTGGTGTCCGATCGGGATCCGCGCTTCACAAGCCGGTTCTGGCAAGAAGTCACACGGACACTAGGAACGAAGCTTAAGTTGTCATCGGCGTTCCACCCACAAACCAATGGGCAGACGGAACGAACAAACCGGACACTTGAGCAGATGCTTCGTTCATTCATTGGCCCAAGTCAGGATGATTGGGACGAGTTGTTACCTGTCGTTGAATTCGCAGTGAACAATTTAGTTCATGAAGGTACACGTGAGAAACCTTTCATTCTGAACTATGGTCGGCATCCCACAACGCCTGCTATGCATGGGATCGGCGGATTGAAAATTCCAGCCGCTAAAGACTTTGTTGGCAAGCAGCAAGAAGCGCTTAAGTCTGCTCGCCATTGGCTACAACTCTCTCAGCAGCGACAAAAATCTTACGCCGACATGAAACGCCGGGAAGCCTCGTTTGAGGTTGGAGACAAAGTTTTGTTAAGCACGAAGAACATTCGTCTCAAAATCCCTGGAGCACGAAAGCTGTTCCCGCGATGGATTGGGCCCTTCGAGGTGATCAAGCGTGTTGGTGTGGTAGCTTACAAGCTTAAGCTACCTGACACTTTACAGATTCACGTCTTCCATGTGTCTCTGTTGAACAAGTACATTGCAGAGGGCAAGTACTTACCGCCACCAACGATCGTCCTGGGGGAGGAACTGTTTTATGAAGTCGAACGAGTGCTAATGCATCGTGATCGACAACGCGGCCGCAAGACAGTACGAGAGTTCCTCATCAAGTGGAAAGGCTATGGGCCTGAACACAACTCATGGGAGCCAGAAGAGCATCTGACTGAAACTGCAGTTCAGTCATACATGACAGACCTGGCTCGACGAGCTGCCGCACAACCAGTGGAGGGCGTTGACCCTGATCGTAATGTGACACGGCGTACTCAAAGCGCTCGTCCTCAGAAGCACCCTGAGGCAACGGGGACGTTGCCACCTAGGGGGGGAGGAGTGTAACGCATAACCTACTCTGCCTCATCTACCGCTAACTTCCTAAGTCAACATCGAGAGACTTTCTCGATGAGAAATGACGTGAAGGCAATCGGGAAGGTTGAGTTGGAGAAGAACATTGGTTTGGTTTTCCCAACCCTCAACCTTGAGGTTTGGAAACTTCCAACCCATCAAAGTGAAGATTGGAAAGGTTGGATTTCCAACCAATCAAATTGTGCCAGTTGTTGTTACAATCCACACAAACTTAAAACAACCATACAATTGTGCTAAGTTGGGTTTTTCCCAATCAAACTAAATTGCCACCTAGGCTCCAAGCCTATTAGCTCCCCAACCATGGAAGCCATGGTTGGGAAAAGCCCCAAGGGGTATGATGGAAGGGGTTGGAGCTCTCAAGCTCATTCCCACTTCCCAACTCCAACAATCTAACTTGGAAATGAGATTTTCACTCTAAGTCTTTTGAGTTCTCCTAATAAGCTCCCCTACACAACTAGACTTGTGATTTTTCAAGGACAAGCTCTACAAGAAGCTCCTACCTACTTATTAAAGTTTCATCAACCTTATTCAAGCTCCCTTTCTCCTCTCAAGCTTAGGAGTACTATCAAGGCTAAATTATCCCTTGGTGGGATTATTAAATCTTGAAAGCCTTGTATCTTGAATTTATAAATGTTGTCAAGGGTGATTTATATTCAACACACGGTTGCCCGTTGTTATAAGGGCCGTGATTGTTACAACGGCAATCAAATGTGCACTAGCATAGATCTAGCTGTTTGTGCGGAACTGCCACCATATTACCACGTCGAAGATCTGTCAGTTTGGGAAATCGGGTAAGCGGGCGGGATTTGCGAAAGCGGCGAGAAAGATTTGCGAAAACTGACGAACGAACTTTTGTACACCCAACCATGCAACCCAGAAACAGCTTGACGAAATGAGAAGTGTCGTTATCTGCGTGCAGTAACCAGAGAATCTGGAACGTTGCTCGAGGTTACACGGTCTTGGCGAAAGCAGAATAAGGTTCGCGAAATTCGGATCCAACTTCACGCCTCCCTCCATCCCTTCACGCCTCTCCCCTCATACCTCATGCCCCTAACCTCATGGCTAATGCCAGTGATTCCCCAGCCCCCGCTCATAGCTCCACCTGTAACCATGCTCGCTACATGCACGCGCCACTCCTGACACCTCTCGCATCGCACTCGGCACATCAAATGAAGCTATCATCTTGTTTCGTCTCAGCCGATTCGCGATCTAAACCGTCGGATTTGGTAAAACTAACGTCCTCAGCCTCCCGATGCCGCGACGTGATGCTTCCCGGCGCTGGCACTCACTGGCGACATTCGCAACGTCAGAGTTCTTCGGTGCACTCACGAAAGCGAACGCCAGAGAATGTCGTGAACACTTGGGCGAATAGGGTGACGCCATACCAGAATAGTGATGGCCGAGCGACTCGTTATGGCGGAGCGAGCACGAAGTCATGCACTGCGGGATGAGAGCGGACGGAAGGGAGAGAGGGGGCGTCTGCTTCCGCCAAGTGGCGAGGGGGTGTACGGGGTTCGGTCGGTTGGGTGGTGACAAGCAAAGCATCATGCCGTCGTTTGCTCATCACTGCTGCGATTGCTGACCGTCGTACCGTATGACACGGAGAACGATTTTCGGCGGCGCGTGAAAGCGGCGAAGGCGAAGGCGAAGGGCGAGAGTCGTGCAACTGCAAGGCGAGTGGAGCTTCGAGCTGATCCATTCCCGCCTCCTCCTCCGCTCGAGTTTCTCTCTCGTTCTGGCTCCTCATCCTTCTACCCCAGGCCCAGCTCCGACTTCTGCACTGTCATTGATCTCCTTCCGCGCGTCCTACCCTTCGTCATCCCGCCTGCCGTTGTGTCCTTTTGAGTGCTCCTCTCCTCTCGATTCCTCTGGCAACTCACTACTGCTTCGTGTTACCTCCACCGACCCCTCGGCCCCTCCCTCTTCTCCTGCTCAACGCCCTCCGGCGAAGCGCCTTGCTCGCAGCTGGTAGCTCGCTGCTGCCTCTCTGCACCTCACCTCACCCTAGCATCCCAAAATTGTTACTCCAGGTACGGCCTCTCTGATCTGCTCCTACCGTCTCACCCTTCCAAATGCGCCTTGCTCTGCTCTCTCAGTACCAGATGTATCCTGCTCCTCGCCTGACCTGAATTCGTTCTTTGGTTGTCTCATGCGTCTTGCTCCTCGCCTATCTCCTTGCCTGACCTACCACCTAGCGTTGTCATATCTTCCTCTGCGCGGCTGACTTGTCATGCCACCTCCCTTGCCCACACTCAGCAATCCCTTCAAACATCGCGTTGCTGCCCTTCTGCGCTCCCCACTCCATGTTTCTATGGAATTCAGTCGTGCCATGCCGTGGTAGTCGTAGACTGTTGATATGACGGAAGCATGCCATCATCGGCTTGTGCCGTTTATTTGATTTAACCTTTTCTTCTCTTCATTCAGATAACAGTATCTCACCCCCCTTGTTTTCTCCGTGCATCTATCCTCTTCATGGAATGAAGTCAGAGCTGTCTGCCATTTTTGTGGCCTTCGCTTCTATCAACTCCTTTCTGCTCCTGCTGACCTCTACCATCCCAATCCTCTCTCCATCATCTTTCCATCACATTCTACTCTTTCATCTCCTGCTCCTTCCCTCTCCTTCCTCCTTCCTTTATCTGCTGCCCCTTACCCTGTCCCCCCCGCTCCTTCCCGTCCACCATCCACCTCCCCCTCCTCCCCCTCCATTCTCCCTGCTGCCTCTTCTCCCCCCCGCTTGCAACCCTTCTGCCTAGGACCAGCTTTTACTTTCACACGGTCCATCCATTTCCTTCCTTGTTTCCTAGCCTTCAACTTTATTGGGTTCATTTTAGGTGAGCGCACCTCCTTACAGCTCGTAATTTCTGCCTGCTCGCCATTCCTCTCCTCTTCAGAGCCTGTGGTGGAACGCCTTGCTTGTTGTGGTGGAGTGGAGAAACTGCCACCTCGCTGCTGCTCCCTACCATCTCTTGTCGGCCTCGCCCTTCCCTCGCCTCCCTCGAGTGCCCCCCCGTTCGGCGCCTCCCGTGAAGCACAAGGGTTTTGGGTTCCCCCTCGCAGAACACCCGCACCTCCAGGTACGGCCTCCGCTGTGCTCCCACCGCCTCACCTTTCAAATGCGCCCTGCTTCTCTTGCCGTACCAGATGTGTCCTGCTCCTCCCACCGTCCACCAGCGTACCACATGCGTCTTGCTCGTCTCCAGACCCGAATGCAATCCCTCTGTCGTAAATGCATGTGTCATGTTGATCGCGTATCTCACACTCACATGTGGTTATCACCCTTGCCTCTCACCTCGTCTTGGGCCCCCCTGCCTCAATCCAACCCCCCTCCCTCCCGCTTCTTCCATTCCCTCCCGTTCACCCCTTCCCTCAGCCCCACCACTCCCTCCCCGCCTGCCCCCTTCCCCCACCCCGCCCCCTGTCCCTCCCACACCTCCCCCCTTCGTTCCTCCCAGTCTTCTGCTCACCTCCCCAACCCCCCCCTTTCTGCCCACCTCCTCCCCTTTTGTTTCACCATTCCTATTACCATGTACGTTGATAATTTCCATTTCGCTATCTATTTCCTTCTCCTCCTCGTCTCTTCAAACTTGTCCATCCATGCAGTGTTAGGCACATGCGTGACCCTTGTGTCCTATCCGTCTATCCTCCCTACCTGTTTCTACCTCCACCTTGGTCTATCTCATGATCGCGTTAGGTTTCCTCTCCGAAGCCCCACACTTCGACGATATGCCATACGATCATCTTCTTGTGATCCTATGCTTCACGTCAGTTCCATTACTATGCCTCAGTCCCATCCCTATGCCTATGTGCCTGCTCCCCGTGCCTATGTGCTACATCTCTCTTCCTTCTTCTAACACTGCCCTCTTCGCTTCAATACTCCTTCTACCCCCCTCACTTACTCTGCCGCAACCTCAATGTGCAGGCGCACGCCTTGCATTGGGCTCGCCCCATCAGCCATGGCTCGGATGACTGCAGTGGCCATGCTGCTGCTGCTAGGGCTGCTGCTCGCCCTCGCTCTCGCCACTGCCATGAGCTTCATCAGCATCATGCTTCTTGGCAGGGATGCGTCGTATCGTGCACCAGTTACAGCTGATGTGAGTGCGTGACCGCCGCTACCACCATCAGCACAAACTCACCTTCCAGGCGCACTCCCAAGATTGCTGGACACATGTTTCACATTGTGTGCATCTTGCACTTTCTGAAATGCATCTCAAGGTCTCAGCATGCACCTGTGCTCTCCTTCCTTCCTTGTTGTGTCTTGCAGCTTCCACGTGATAATGACAGCCAGCAAGTCAACCCGCTCATGCTGGCCTCTCCATCCATCCTTCATGTAGGGACAAGCCCTACCCTGTGATGTCACTTGTTAATATTGTTTTAGATTTCGTTTTCGTTTCTGCTTCTCTTTTGATCCCACACCCAAAAGCCGGATTGGCAGATGATTGTTTGTTACACAACAATCGTTTTGTGTGTGTGCATGCCTGTGTGTGTGTGCATGCCTGCGTGTGTGTGCATGCCTGTGTGTGTGTGCATGCCTGTGTGTGTGTGCATGCCTGCGTGTGTGTGCATGCCTCTGTGTGTGTGCATGCCTGTGTGTGTGTGAATGCCTGCGTGTGTGTGCGTGTGTGTGTTCTGCTTTTGCATGCATGCATGTTCTGTTCGCTTCTCAGGCCAATGCCACTGCCACGAGTCACAACAGCACGTGCGGACCTTCCACTCATGCCAACGCAATTGCTACTTCTCCTCAGCGTGTCAACACCCTGAACGTGCCTCTTCACTCCCTCGACACCCTGGTTGGTGCGTATTAGAGTAAATCAGGTTTCTACAGTTTCCACTGCAACCAATCATGCTTTTAAGAATTAGTTATTCACTGATTTGTAACCAAATACCTCTCAATGTCCTTGTTCATGATCATATGCTCGTCCCTGTCCTCCCACTTCTGCAGCCTCCAGTGTTTGTGATCTATTCTGTGATCGCCACTCTCATGGCACTGCTGTGGGGGATGGGCGTGACACACACGCAAGTCAGAGCATGGGTGCATCAGCAGGGCTTGGCTGTGACGGCTGGGCTGATGAAGCTGAAGAGTGCAACCAAGTGCCTCCTGGTATGCCATGCGCTCTGCCCTCCGCCACTGCAGCTTCCCCCTCTGCCAAACTTTCATATCCCTCCTGGTCATTGTCTCTCCCCTTCTCTCCTTCGTGCTCTCACTCAAGTCCCTGCAGCTTCGTTTTCTTGCCAATCTTTTCTCTAGTCACTTGTGTTTCCCATGCTGCTGTGTTGTGTTCTTCCCATCTCTCATCCTCCTCTCTCCTCCTCTCCATTCACCAATCATCCTGCCTTCCCTTCCTCGCCATCACCATGCTGCAGCCATGTGGAAACTTCCCTCTGCTGCACAGCCCCATGTGAGCAAACCCCCACTTACCATTGTTCAATCCCCCTCACTTTCTTGTTCTGGTCTCATGTGCTTCTGTACTTGAATGTTTTCCTTTGTTTGGCAATACAAGCAGCCACTGCCCTCGCTGATGCAAAAATCTGATGTTCCCCTGCTCATTCCCTCCTTTGCTCCCCAATTCATTTTTCACACGCAATTATTCCTCTAACGTTATCTTCCCATTTACATACCTACTGCCATGCGCGCTCATGTGCTACCATGTGTAGTAATCATGTCAGGTCTGGGACGGAGAGACTAGGAAAGGCTGTTGGGACTGTTGTGGCGAGTATGGCCGGAACACAGGAGTTAAAAGATGCGATGGAGATGAGAATGAGGGTGATGGAAGAGGCTGAGAGGAGGCAAGTGGCTCAGATGAATGAGATGAGAGGGCAGATGGAGGAGAGGGAGAGGAAATTGATTGCAGAGTTGGCAGCTGTGAAGGCAGAGCTGATTGGAGTGAAGGGGGAGTTGGCTGACCACAAGGGTGCTGTGACGGAGAAACTGGACATGGCTGAGAGAAGAAGGGCAGTGGAGTTGAGAGAGCTGAGGGAGGAGGCTAGGAAGGGAGAGGATGAAATGCGTGCAGATTTGGCAAGGGAGAGGGAGGAGAGGAGGAGGGAGGTGCAGGAGGTAGAGAGGAGAAGAGCATCAGATTTGACGGAGATGAAAGGGCAGATGGAGGAGAGGGAGAAAGAGCCGGCAGCAGTGAAGGATGAGTTGGCTGAGCAGAAGCATGCTCACATGCAGATGGATGTTGACCTGAAAATCATCCATTGTGAAGGCCATCAGAAGTTTGCATGGAAGGTAAGTGCCGAGCCAAGCTGAGTGAACTGTGCATGGTTTTGTAGGGCATGGATGGTTTGACTGGGCTTGCATGGCTTGACTGGGCGTGGATGGTTTGGTAGTGCATGCACTGCTTCCTAATGTCACAATGGTCACTTCTTTACTTGTCATTCATTCCTCTTCATCCATCACCTCCAGCGAATCAAGTCGGCATCACAAGGAACGAATCTGGGCCTGAGCGATTGCTACGACCTCTCAGACGCCATGCTCGCCCATGTGTCCACAATGACGCGTCTGACAAGCATCGACTTGACAACTGCCTCAGGCTTCAGTGCAGAGGGCATCAAGCACCTCTACAGGCTGCCTCGGCTGGAGACAGTAAACCTCAGCAGGACAAACGTATCAGACAGTGCCTTGGAAGGCATTGGATCCTTGGTCGGGCTCAAGTTTCTCCATATCCATCGTACCAATGTGACTGACGCTGGTCTGACGCACTTGACATGTCTCTCCTCACTCAAAGGTTTGTGGCTTTCTGAATGCACGGGTGTGACAAATGCTGGCGTGGTGCATGTGGGGAAGCTGACAAGGCTTGAGGAACTTCGGCTGGGTTGGACGCCGGTCACGGATGATGGGCTGCAACAGCTGACTGCCCTGACCAAGCTGAAAACTTTACGGTTGCCAAATGGGAATATGGTTTACAATGATGATGTGCGCAGGTGGATAGGCAGATAAAGGGGTAGGGAGTGATGGAAAGGTGGGGGAGGGAGGAAGGTGGTGGGGCTGGGGGTGGGGTTACAACATGCCGGTAAGGGCAGAGTTGGCGGTAATTGCTTGGAGGATATGGTACTACGGAGGGGCATGGTGGAGGCAAGAGGTGTGGAGGAGGGGAGCACGTTGAGGACGTGTGGAGCGGAGGAAAGGGTTACGGGAGAACTATGCATGTAGGAGCATGAAGATAGTGGATCTTATGAACTATTGACTTGAAGTCAAAGTCAAACATCTTTCACCTTTCACACCTGTTCAAGCGATAAACAACAGCAGCACTCTTGTTCCACTAAAGTTCACAACAAAATTTTGTTGCCAATGCAATCTTATTGGTCAGAAACACTATCCAACACGACAGAACACGAAGAGGGCAGGGTATATGATTAGTAAGAACTATGACACTACTGATATACACATCAGGAACATGAAGTGGAGAGGTACGAACGAGGGTGCGACTGCGGCTTGCTAGGTGTTGGGCTGAGAATTTCAGCCTCAGGATCTTTGCAGAGAATAGGCTAGTAGGTGCTAGAGTAGCACAGCAGAAGACTTGAGTGAATGTACTTGTGCTGGTGTATGAGAACAAGTAATTGATTAAGGCAAAGAGCATACAGGAATACGGTATATAGGAAAGATAGATTACAAGAGGCGGTTATGTTTATCGAGACGCGTAACCCTTCGACTATCGAGGCGGTTACTGTTCACTGAAGCGTCGCTTGCTGTTACGTAACCTCCAGGCGGTTACAGCTCGCAACCTCCAGTTGCGGTTTAATGTGGTACACGCCTTTTCGACTTCATACCCCTTTTGTTGTGCTTCAGTATCGGGTGAGGTTCGATACTACAGAAACGCACTAAGTCATGCGTTTGACAAAAGTTAGAAGAAGAAAGAGGAATGAACTAGCAGAAATGGGGATACAAATAGCAAACCCTAGAAGGGTTGTACTCGCTATAGAGCACCCCACTACAGGCTAGAACATAAGAATAATATTCTGACACACCCCCATAGCCAAAGTGGGGTGTAATCAGCACAGCAGGCAAAGCAAAACAAGCTCAGGGTGGATCACAATGTCACCACACATTCTGAGCACAAGTTCAAGAAGAAATAGTTTAGAGTTCACAATTATAAGCAAAGCTAGTGGTAGTCACAACGGGCAAGTGAGGAGGAGGAGGGAGAGTGAGGGGAGAGGAGACAGGAGGCGACGGCTGAAGCTGCAGACACACGGGCAACAGGAGGCAGACTGGCACAGCGGCTACCGGACAGCGCCCGGACTACAGGAGTAACAGGCCCCGCGGCTCAAATAGCGGCGGACGGGCAACGGACCCACGGGCGGCTGGCACAGCTGGCTACGACTGGGCTACCGGGACAGCGCCCCGGACTACAGGTGCTGCGGACGACAAGCCGGCAGCCTCCGCTCAACCTCCCGCAAACAGTCCCACCCCCCTGATAAACACCCACTGCTACACCGCTAGCTCTACTCCCACGCACCCCCCCTTAAACCCTAAACCCCAGTCTCCCACACAACCACCCCCCTCAGCGACAGCTCCAGCAGTGGGAGACGAAGGAGGAGGAGGAGCAAGGGAGGAAGGCACACCGGCCACCCCCATACCCGCCGCAAGCGGCCCCCTCAGGTCGCCTCGACGGACGACGGGAAATGGCAGGGGGAAAGGGGGGGGGGGGGGGGGGGGGGGGGGGGGCGGTGTGGTGAAAGGGGCCCACCACGGGCCTGGTTGGAGGGCGGAGCCGCGACAAGGGGCGGGACCGCGACGGTCGGGGCCGCTTCGAGGGGCGGGGCCGCGACGCAGGGCGGGGCCGCGACGTAGGGCGGGGCCGCGTCGAGGGGCGGGGCCGCGACGGTCGGGGCGGGGCCGTGACATAGGGCGGGGCCGCTTCGAGGGGCGGGGCCGCGACGCAGGGCGGGGCCGCGGCGAAGGGCGGGGCCGCGTCGAGGGGCGGGGCCGCGACGGTCGGGGCCGCTTCGAGGGGCTGGGCCGCGACGCAGGGCGGGGCCGCGACGTAGGGCAGAAGCCCGCCGCGCGCCTCGGGGCGCACAGCGGGCAAAGAACCGCCGCGCGCCTCGGGGCGCACGGCGGGCAGAAAACCGCCGCGCGCCTCGGGGCGCACGGCGGGAGGAAAAAGTAGCAGCGGAAGCGAGGTGGTAACCCACCCAAAGGATCGATCCAAGGGGATCGACCTGCTCTGATAGCATGACAAAAGTTAGAAGAAGAAAGAGGAATGAACTAGCAGAAATGGGGATACAAATAGCAAACCCTAGAAGGGTTGTACTCGCTATAGAGCACCCCACTACAGGCTAGAACATAAGAATAATATTCTGACAGCGTTTATATTCCCAACACTCCCCTTCGTTTCTGGAGTGTCGACGTGGTTAGCTTCGGTGACGTGGTCCAATCCGGTGAGCAGCATGCAGTACTCGAATTTCCCCTTTGGTAGCTTCTTGGTGAGATAATCTGCTGCCATCTCGGTGGTCGGGCAGTAGTCCAGCTGGAGTTTTCCCTTCTCGATTTCGTCTTTCACGAAGAAGTATCGCAGTGCGATATGTTTGGTTTTGTTGGCGAAGCCATTCTTGTTCGCGATCCGTATTGTGGACTGGTTGTCGCAGAAAAGCGAGAAGTTGGGTACCTTCGCAATTTTCGCTTCTTCCAGCAGTTCGTGCAGGTACAGACCTTCCTTGGTGGCGGTGCAGAGAGCAATATATTCTGCTTCAGCAGATGATAGTGCGACGAGTTCCTGCTTACTTGATTGCCAGGAGATAGTTCTGACGGGCTCGAGACGGTAGACGTAGCCGGTGCGAGAGCGACGATCGATACGATCAGCAGCGTGATCAGCGTCGACGTAACCGAGTAGTTTTAGGTCGGTCGTCGTGCTCTTGTGATATGTCAAGCCAACTGTTGGCGTCGAGATGAAGTAGAGAAGGGCACGGTTGAGTTCCTTGAGGTGACGTTGTTCTGGGCGCTTGAGGTAGGTCGCTAGCTGGCTGGCGCTGTAGGATAAGTCCGGTCGGCACGTAACGGCGGCAAAGAGTAAGCAGCCCAGTTTCTGTTGATACTCCTGGATTCCGGCAGACGGCAGTAGGTTGGTTTCTTCGGTTGGGTCGGGCGATAGGTGACTGTAGGGTGTTGCGACGTGCGTCGGTGTGAAGTAGAAGCGTTCGGCGATAGTGCTTGCGTATTTTGAGGCGTTGAGATGAATGGCGTTGTCTTCGTCGAGAATGTTGAGCCCTAGGTACTGCGTGACGTTGGGTGAGACTGTGAGGGAGAGATCCGTCTGAAGCTCCTTTGGAAACCAGGTGACGATGGTGGTAGTTGACCCGATGTAAAGTAAGTCATCGACATAGACAATTAGCAAGACGTAGTCGTTGTCGTGAGTGAGGCGATACATGCCCTGGTCATGGGGCAGTTGGTTGAATCCGATGCGTTTAAGTCGTGCGTGCAGGTACTGCTGCCAGAGTCGCGGTGCCTGTTTCATTCCGTACAGTGATTTAAGTAGTTGATAGACGCGGGAAGGGTCGTCGACAAACCCGTGGGGCTGTTCAACGAAGATTTCGGCATCGACTGGGGCGTACAGAAAAGCGTTGGCGACGTCGATTTGTCGGAGTGGGCGGCGACGTGAGGCAGCGATGGCGAGAAGAATGCGTAGGGAAGTGTGTCGACTGACTGGTGCAAAAGTTTCAGTGATGTCGCGACCAAACTCTTGGTCGAATCCGCAGACGACCCATCGAGCTTTAAATCGTTCGATGGTTCCGTCGGAGTTGGTTTTGATCCGGAATACCCATTTCCCGGAGAGAATGGGTCTGTCTTGTGCGAGTGATGCAGGGACGATCTTCCAGGTGTTGCGGTCTGATAGCGCTTTTAACTCCTTTTCCATGGCTTCGCGCCATTTTTTTTTGGGGTCCCCCCCCAGAGCCTGCTTGACAGAGCGAGGCCCTTCAGGTGGCGTCGAAGGCCCGTGCACTACAGCGACGAGTCCGACTTGGAGTCCGCTAGGGGTGTGACGGTTCAACAAGGGATCCTCGGGACAGACTGCTTCGTCTCCCGCTTCAGGATCAGGTGCGAATCCGGGGCCATATCGTTCAGAAATGTCGGTGTTGACGGGTTGGGGTGTTACGTATCCAGTGTCGGCGAAATGGTAGTAGACGTCGGCATTGACGCTATCGCGAGGATTTTCGTCGTCCATGGGGATTGGGACGGAGCAGTAGGGAAGGGGTCCAGCAGCTTCGGAGGCGCCGTCGACGTTTTCTTCTTCCCAGTCAGCAGCGTCGGAG